CTGCTTAATGTAAGCTAATGACTTTGTTAGTTCTAATTTTTGCCGTTTCTTCGATGGGTCAACAGTAAGTCTACGGACTTACAACGTTAAAATCCAGGGCTCGTTTCACCTCGGTGGACAGAGAGAAAATTGTCTCCATTGTGTAGCATTGCGTTAAAACAAGACAAACCCAATTTAATGTTTTCAAGTTTTAGAAAATCTTCAAAATATTAGGAATTTCTTGTCGCTGAGCGCAGTTTATTACTGCGTCATTCATTAAGCTCTATTTGTATAGTAGACAGTAAGATGAATAAAACTGATTGCCGTGAGTTTGGTATTTAAACCATGTACGTATCTTGATATTTCAGAACAGAAAGGTTAATATTATATATTTAATTCACGATTCCGCGTTCCGTTTCCCGCCTAGCGGTAGCTACTTGTGATAGGAAGATGTTTCCTACATCGCTGATCCGGTGTGTAACATTCTATGCCTGACGTAAGGACGGTGTCTGCGGCCATTGAGCCAGTTAGTGTCTTCAGAGGATTGTTGTTGGGTGTGGTGCGGCCAGGAGAGTTCTCAAGTCGTTCTGATGATAGCACTATGTACTGTTGTCTTCCAATGTTAACCGGGTCTTCTTACAAAACCCACACTAGGTGAGACTAATAACGTAGTTTGATCCACTTCTTTAATTATGTTACGTTTTGCGTCAGTCAGAGCAGGTTTTACAAATAGTAACATCTATTCATACATACCCGAGTGTTTGTATTCATGTATTTCTTACACATTAATCATGGTGTTAAGATTTCAGTTTGTGCAAATGACCAAATACACCGTTTCGGGGTTTTTATGTATAAAACCAGTAGTGCTGGGAAAGCAACCTATACCGGTAGTGATGATAAATTTTTCCTGTAGTATGAGAAACGCCCATTTATTTTCAAATTAAATTGTTGAAAGCTGCATTCTTTCGTAATGTGATTCTTATAGTATCTTAGTGTTCATGTAACTTGTCGGATGGGTATTTAACGAAGGAAAAAATTAGTTTTTGACTGTTCGATCACTTTGAAAATTTATTATAATAATCCTGAAACTCTATGTATACTTTTTTTTTATGTACAGTGGTTAAACGCTTGTAGTCTAATTTATTATAACAGACCAGATCATCAAGATTTATCTAATAAAATTCCTTAAAGCTCAGGCTTTGGTTAGTTAGGTCTTTAATTTATAGCTACTTTCAAAAATGGGTATGTGCACTAGAAAAAAGGAATTATATATCAGTATTTGTATTCGTGTAATAATTTTTACTTGACACTATTTTGATATTCATGCTGTAGTGCGTGTCTACAATAGGGTTTTGTTGGCAATTTTCCAGATAGTATTTCCGTATGTGAGTTTTAAGACAAAAGTTATGAAATTATGAGGCTTTATAATATTTTTAACTACACGTATAAAACGTCTGTACGGTTGATAATCATATTAATATACAAAGATCATTAGCTGTGTATTTTCTTTATAACGTTAATAGAAAGCAGTAACATTTATTAATTATTGACTGACAATTACACGCATATAACATTAATATATTATACAGATCTTCCAGTGAAACCTTTAAAAATATTTCGTTCTCAACCTTTATGAACTTTATTTTTGCCAAGAATAGGCCCAGAACATTTTAAAAACTATAATTTCAAGGTAAATATATATATATATTAAACTCAGAAGTATTGTAGTCCTTATATTGCTATGATGTTCCATGAAAATGAGATTTCGTATCATTTTTGATGTTAGGATGTAATTCAGACGTCATTATCAGAACTTGCTTTGTAAAGTCTTTATAATTACACACAGAGTAACAAATTTCTTCAACTAAATTTTATAGATGTGTATAGGAATTCCCATTTGTTACTTGTCACATAAGTTAGTTGCATACATTTAGCCATGTATTTTGGTTTCGGAAATCACAATTTGTTGTACATTTTTAGAAAAAGGAACCATTAAAAACCTTTATTTTTGCAGTGGCCTACTGGAAGGCCTATAAATATCAAATTGTTAGATGTACGATTTACAGAATTGCTCCAATTCACTTCTGGTTTGAAAGGCAGGAATAGTTAAATTCTCTGGAGACAATCATTTCATAAAGAGAAGCGTGTTCAATAACAAGAGGAAATTATGCATTAATAATCGTCTCAGAGTTCAATTATACTGCTAGGACCTTGTTGTGCTTATGGTAATTTAATTACTTTTATGGTGATGAGGTTATGAGCAGAAACATACGAGTGTGTTATTATACACAAGGAAAGTAGCAGGGTGGGATATATATGGTTTAACCAGTTTTCCTTAGGCTTGTATTAAAAAAGCGGGAAACTGCAAGCAAATAGACCTAATCTTTCTCGCTATTTAAGTCTTAATTTTTCTTTTAGCTCCTACACTCGTGGGTTTGTTCTAACCGTCAGCTTTGGTTTACATTCTAAATATTTTAAAGGACACTTAATATACCCAACTTCTATTTGAAAGTTTATTCAGAATTAGTCTAATTAGAAAACGCTTAAGGATGCATCGCATATAAACGGGGTCATGTTTTGATATATGAGAACGAGGATATGACCTCAAACTGTTAGCTAAGAATGAATACTTAGGGTAACCCGTTCAATTACACTAGTCATCATTATACTGATGACAAAAAAGTGATGAGCGTATTCAGTTCGTGGTTTCACGTCATTGTTAAAATGTCGATTCTTGCTGCACATAAGGTACGTATCGTACTAGTTGAAAAGGACCAGGTAAAACACATAACCTAAATGGTATAAAATTTGTCTTGACATTGACATGACTTTGACATGAAACACTTATTATTTATGGAGCTATGAAAAATGCCTCGCGTGTATGGTCCAAAAAATATTCATATCAGATTAGTATGTTTTAATTCAACATTTTTGTCAATTTGAACCTCATACTGTGTATTTAATACACAATTCGAGTATACTGTTTGCCTGCAAATGGATGTTTTTTGTTCCATGTATATATTTAAAATGGACTTGGTTGCAGTTAAGCATTATTATTATTACTAGCGAATAGCCCGTCAAAAGTGACGGGCAAGTACTACCACCCCCACCCCACGCATTTCATATCCAACTGAAATAAATAAATTTTGCGGAATCAAGCTTGACAAATAAAAGAACCAGAAAAGTGCAGTCGATGCAGTCAAAGGTCAGTAAATTCCTTTGTGAGCCAATCAAAATTAAGATCCTGCATGAAATGAACTCGTAGCGCATTCAAAGAATAATTATTGGTTAAAATCAATTAGTATTAATGGGATTTTTAAGCCCTTTTCAATCACCAGTAGAATAACCTAAAATAATTTAGGTATTTGAATAATATTAGAGCTCGTGCCTAAATCATTATTCCACATTACATCTCGGACCATGTATTTAATGATTGCATATTGAGGGCAAATGTTTTCTTTGATTGCCCGTACTCACTGCTGTGGACTGCAGTTTCGCCTATTGAAGGCTCATCGGAACAGTTTTTATATGTATAAAAAGTATTAAAATAATTATTAAAAAATAAGTTAGATAAACAACTTCTAATATATAGAAAAGCCAATGCATTTTGGTAACACTACGTTCCAACAATGGAGTTTATGTCATGTTGCTTAGCAACAAAAGTATAACCTAATATTGTTAGTCTATGTACTGGAAGTATAAAATGAAATGTATAGACAACAAAAGTGTAAAAATATTTGTTTATTTCTTAATTTAGAATCTCCTTTGATTAAAGAGGTTTTTTATTTATTAAAAACGTTTGTGATATAACAGAAAATAGTTTAATTCAGAAACGATTTAAGTTTAAAATTGAATCGATAAATTTTATGCACTTGGCTCTGCGATAGGTGATCCCACACTACGTCTTTACTTTAGGCTTATTATACCAACACTTATAAGGTTTCACGGCACACACACACCCCTCACGTCCCCCTTGCACCCCCGCAATAAAATTTTAATGGACAGACAGTAATCGAACTAATCTATCTGGTTAAATGCATTTTGGCTTTTATGACTACTCCTATTTCGAGAAATCAAGCGTGATTAGGTTAGATTATTATTATTAATTATTATTTTGTGGAAGAAACAACCCTGACTGTGCTGAATAAAATAAGAAAGCAATTTTCCAAGAATCGAAATTATTGAATTACATTTCAAAGATGCCTTAGTCTTCGTTTAAAATGCGTTTCTACTAAATTAATGGGAAATGCATTATGATTGTATTTTTAAAGTATATCTAGATCATGTATTTAGTTTGTTTTGAGCGTTGTATGAAACAGTTATTGTTTCTTTTCCTAACTTACTGGAAGTCGTTTCGCCTTGCTGAGGAGACAATACCAATCTCGAAACGTTGTCAGCAAGCTAGAAAAAATTAGGATTGTTCATACAAAAATGTCCTCATGGCTGTAAACGAAAAATATGAAAGTTGAAGTTCAAAAGGATAAGAGGCCCGGCATGGCCAGGTGGTTAGGAAGCTCGACTCATTATAACGTGACGGTTAATCTCATTATTCGTTGGTAAAAAGAGTAGCCCAAGAGTTGGTGGTGGGTGGTGATGACTAGCTGCTTTCCACCTAGACTTACACTGCTAAATT